GTAAGCAACAGCTTACAACTACTTTTCACGGAGTAAATGCGTTTTTGTTTTTATTTTTGTCATTGATCTGAATTTCACGCTCCATTTTTATTCTACAGCGAACAAGTGAAATGCTGAGCCTTTCTTTGCTTTGAGTTTTACAGAAAATACGATAAAGAATTGAAAATCGGAAGCAAGTTCTCTTTATGAAATAAACACTGAAGCACACCAAGTGAACGTTTTGAGTTCAGTACATTTTTTGCTTTCCTCTTTATTTATCAGCTCTTGTCACTGTCCGCCTTCTAGTGGAAGGGTCATTTTTTTGTTGGAGAATATTGAGAATCGGTATCTTTAGTCAACAGTTTCAGAATGTGTTTGCATGTCTTTTTTCAGATAAATCCGTTCTTCGGATAAATAATCACATTTTCAGATCTCAGGGTTACTTTGAATCCCTGGATTTGTTAGAAAAACATCTAAACGCTAAACCGCAAATTGAGGCAGGAGCTCGGCCGAAAATCGCTTCAGCAGTTACAACTTTGTCCACATAATGGATTTTTTCTTCTCGGTCTCTAGCTAATATTTGGAAAAATACTAATCTGCGTCCAGACTACCTCTTAATAATTTTGGCCCCTGCGATTCAGCAGGTAAAAATATAAAATCTGTGGCAAAAATTTGACTTGATTTACAAGCAGCGTGCCAAAGCTTCGATTGCTTACTAATGCCGGTCATTCACAATCCGTAATGAAAATGTATTTCAGTAGATTTTAGTTAATAAGCACGCGGAAACGACGCTTCGTTTCGAAAACCCAAATGACGCTACCTATAATATTATGAATCGTCAACAGAAAGGTATTCGGATCAGCATTTCAGCGAATTTCGCTGCATTGTTCCTCTCATCTTCTGTGTCGATTATTCTAAGGAGCGTTTAGGTTTTAAAATATGGTAGTATTTTTTGGAAAAAATAAGACTCATCTTGGTTCATAAGCTTCTTAAAAAATCAATGAGGTTGTGATCAAAATTTTCGTGATTTCAATTCTTAAGATTAACTTAAAGAGAAACTATTTTTTGAGTTCTGCTTCAAATTTTTGTTAAAATTATGAGTTTTGTGCGCTTGTAAAGCCGGTACCCGTCCTGAAATAAATGTAAATCCAATTCTTTTTGAAACAAATCGACTTCTCTATGATTTCTCGGATTATTGCTATAATATTATAATGAAAATGTAAAAAAAAAACGTAGGCACTCATATAAAACGAAAACAAAATTTTATTTTTTACCAAATTGTTTTTATTTTTTTTCAACAAGACTGTGAAATTCACAAAACATTTATTTGAAAATGTTTACTATTTTTTAAACATAAAAATCCGATTCTATACTCGTATAAGAAATATAATATGGTCATTTACTTCATATATGTGTTCACTATTTTCTTTTCGGCTCTTGGCATAGAAGACAATTTCTTTCATTTCTTTGGAGAGGAAACGCTTAGTTTTTAGCTAAATTATTTTGAGTGGGCACTCTAAAAAAGACTCAAAACACCCATAGTCAATAAAATGCGTAATTTCCGGTGAAAATTTTGGTGGAATATTTGAATTTAAGTAAAATTAGTTCAAAATTCAGCATAATACAGCTTACATAAACACATATACGAGTACATATGTACATACATAAAACTAGATCTTGAAAGATTCTGAAAGATTCAAGAAGGTTGAAGGTTGTTACAATGTTTATATAGCTCAACATACACATATCTGCACATATACACAGTTGGGCAAAGTGATAGGTGTAACTAAATATTTTTGATTTCTTTATTTTCCATCACATTCCAAAGAATCCGTTGTTTCTTAAAGTAAACACACAGCAGAATTAAAAACAATTAATTTACTTATAAACACTTCACTACTAACAAAATTCTCATTTATTCAGTTGATAATATTGATATTCTGTAGGTTTTCGCCCGTCAACTTTCTTGATATTTCTCTCGGACATGGAAATTAATTCTTGCTACGTAATTTTGAGATCGGCCCTATGGAATAAATCTTCCCTCCTCCGCACTGCAAAGCACTCAACGATTAATCTACTTTTTTCCCAAAATTTTAATTAACCAATTAAGCTTATTTGGTTTAATTTCATCGGATATTTAACATCTGAACAAATTTTTATTTATTACCAGAATACACCGACTTTATTGTCGAGCTCCATTTGAAGGTAGATTTTAAAAAGTAACCGTCAATTTGCAAATTTCTGGCTTTAAACCTATTATTTTGACCAGCAGTGTATGCATATCTTTTGCAATCCTTTCAAAACCAAACTTTTCCAATAACAAAATTCATCAATATCAATAAGAGCTCCGAACTACAATATAAAGTCAACATTGATGATATCAGAAAAACATATGTACATATACAGTTTTTCAATAATCAATTACATAATAAACACATCGAATGAACGAGCAACAAGATAGTTCATGCGCAAATAAGCGAACAAACGATTTCTGTTTACCGTCAAAATGACTCAATCGGGGAAGGCGCTCATGATCTTGAGTAAATTAATCGCTATAAATCGCATTAAAGGAATAATGGACGCATTCAAAGTAAATGTAAAAGAAAAAAAGAATCAAGAAAAGGCAGAGTTCTTCCAATCGCTGTCAATATTCGTTAGTACTGACATGGATGCACGCATACATATGTATGTATGTATGTATGTATACACCGAGCACTTTGAGCGCAACAGGCCTTTGGCTAAATCTATTAAAGAATAAATTAAATGTGGGAAAAAAGTATTAAAAGCCGTAAAGCATACAACGAATTAACAGTTACTTGCAACACAGCTTAAGCGCACACACACACATGTCTCCACAAACACGCAGATAAGCTAAGGCAGAAAGCAATCTAGCGCTCAGGCTGAAATGGAAATGGAAGTCGAGCTCAGCGTTGCGTGACATAGCGTGGCATGGCGCAAAGAGGCGAGATGAGACGAGGCGGGGGAACTGTGCGCATGGCATGGCGACAGCTTCGGCATATGCCGTAAAGGGAAATGACCGCAAAAGCATGCGAAAGTTAAAATCAAAGTAGAATTCGAATGAAAAAAATTATAAGAAAGAAAAAACAATTACAACAATGAGGATGGCCGCAGCAACAACAACAATAGTCATCGCTGATGACAATAACCTTAAGAAAACGAAGTAAACACCACACAACAACTCCAACAACAAAGCAGCCTCCAAGCGCAGTTAAGCAGTTAAGTATGTAACGCCGTCTACATAATGCTACAATAACAACAAGAGCAAGACCAGAAAAACCAAGAACAAAGTGAATTGTTAAAACAAAAGCGTCGCAGAGAAATGCAAAGAACCTTTTTTAGCGAGCCAAAAGCGGATTTCGGCATAAATTTGCCGTTTGCCCAGCATTCCTGCCATCTCGCGACGAGATGCGAGGATGTGGTGTGTGGTGTGTGTGGCGCATTGCGCATGCGCCGTACGTGCCCGGCGTTGCATGTGACTCAGACTTTCCCATACTCGCAGCACGACATTAAAAGCGAGCGTGCCGATGCTGCGGCTCTGCAAAGCTTTGCCAGTATTTTATGTGGCGAGCAGTAAATTGTCGTTTGGTCCAAACGATTTTTTAAAAGCGTTATTTGAAACATTTCTGCAATTTTATTTCGCAAACTCTGATTTCTCCGAAATCACTTAGTGGAAGATGAATGTTTCCGAAAATCAATCACTCCTCAAAATACAAGCCAATTGTTATAAGCAAAAAATAATGTGCAAGTCCTTCAAAAAGGGTTGATTTAAAAATAATAATAATTTTGTGGTTTCGTTCTAAAAGCGACTTAGGGTTATATGGGTTAGTAGGCCTATCAATGAAAGTTCATCGATTTCAGTGAAACCGGTGAGAGACCCTTTGTGGTGCCACCATTTCCTGGCCAGTCGTTATCCACCCGTTTTAATGTTTTGATGAACCTTATTGAGCCAACACCTTGGACGGATTGGCAAGCAAGATACTCTGGAGCTTTCGAAACCTGTCGCACCACAATCATTTTTACAGTTCTTGTAGCTACGACAAAAGGGGCTTCCATTTCTTCATATTGTTCTAGTTTGTTTTGGAACTCTTACTACGTTTAAGGAGAATACTTCCCATAGCTTTTGTTACTCCATTTCAGCCAAGCTTTCCTTCATAGATATCCGGCAAGTCCTTCACTGTTCATAGATAAATTTTTTTAGGAACTCGTTCTTTATTGAAATAAATTTGTTTGATCGTACCCCGTTTAGCAAGTTCATCCAGCTAAAAATTTCCCCAGATGTTCTTATGACAAAGAACCTATGGGTAATATATTATAGTAAATCCTGTTTGCTCCCCTCCAGCACAGTTTTAAGGTTTATCGTTGGCCCAAAAATATTTTCATATTGAAAGCCAGAACTACCTAAACATAAGTAAAATGCCAAAGCCCAACCCTCGGCAGAAACTCAGAAATGAACACACGCACTTCCAGCCATTTTCGAATGGAATTGGCATATATGGCAAAAGGAACTTCCATATGACATTGAGACGCCATTTTTTGTTGAAACTCCGATTATGATTCCGCCTTATTAGATGAAAGACTAGTCTACCGCTTTTATTTAACTTCCTTAAAGCTCTTAAGATAGAATGCTCAAGGGAGCCACGCCTAACAAAAGCTAATTATTTTTGCCCACACCAAACTTCTAAATCCGACATGCCGACCACAACTGCTCACAATCAAGCGATGGTCCTCCCGCCAACTTCACAGCAAATATCCACTTTTTTCCTCTAACCACTTGCGGTATTTGGTGGCAGAACTCGGCGTGAGCGCTGGCATTTATGGTAAATGCGTCAAACGCCTTTGGCAAAAATGGTAAATAAAATACAAAACAACAACAACAACAATGCAACGATGCACATCGAAAAGACGTTGGCAGCGTGGCGGTAGCTGTACTAAAAATACGTGCAATACTGTACCCATACACAGAGGTACATACATACATACTATGTATGGCTACTACTTACCAAAAAAGTCCTCCCAACGTTCCGAGTCGTCTGATTCTATATCCATATTGGTGTTGGAGTTGCTAAAAACTGCTTCTTGTTGGCCGCTTCAAAGTTGCCGAGATGATTACGATGGCGATGGCGATGGCGATGAGGATGATGTTGATGATGTTGTTGATAATGATGTATTTTATTATTGTTGTTATTGTTGTAATTATTATATACACTCGCTAACCACAAGTTAAACACGAATCTTGGGTTGCCTTTTCACATATTATTTCTTAAGGCTTCTGTTATTGTTTGTGTTTTACGTTTGCGATTTGTTAGATAGTGGAAAAATATCTAATAAAATGAATTGACAGTTACAACTATGTATGTATATGCTTGTTGTTGTAAATTTTATCCCCTATGCGCAACTAACGAATTCTCGACTTTTATGCGTTTTTATTGCGATATTTTTAATGATTTATTGGTCGCTTTGTTTGCTTAGCACTTTTGTTGTTGTTGTTGATGTTTTTTTTTCTTTTTTTTTTTTGTTGCAAATAACCTTATTTAGCTAGTTGCAATGATAGCTCAACATTTTCTAAGAAGAATTTGCGCAGCAACACTTTAAAGGCCATTTCAAGTGACGTATATGTAGATATGTATATGTATGAATATGTATGTGCTCTGAGCGTTTACCAGCACAATGCGTCTAATATAACTTGGTTAGTTAGCGATTCTTTTCGCACAGCCCGTACAGTCTTATTGCATTTTCAAAGGCACACACATACATACATAGACGTTTGACACTTTTATGGTCAAAATATGCGACATCCACTTTTCTTCTTCACACCGGATTTTTTCTGTTTTATTTTATGGCCTGATAGAGCGCAGCGATAGTTCTCACAATTGGTAGATGTGTCTCATGCACTCGTAAGTATGTACTTTTGTATGCGTACAGCGTTAGAATAAGAGAAATTTCTTTCCAACGCACCTTTAAGTTCACTATACACTAGAGGTTAGACCGCTTGGGCAGATTCCAGATATAACATGTGTGTATGTAAGTATATCGAAGGTTGAACTATGCTTGAAATTTACACAACTTCAAGGCCAAAGAGGCAGCGATTTGTCGGCCTGTGGGCACTCATCCACCGTGACTAACTTTGTGGGCTCTAAGTTTGCATTACTAGCAGGTGCATAAGTCTATTTTATCGGTAATTTGTTATTGCTTGAAACGTCTAATCGATAAGATAGCATGTGAGTGGCTGGTGGTATTATTGTGACTTCTAAGTTTTCGGAACTTGGTTTTTTTGTTGGGAGAAAAATTCATTAATTTTCTGCATTTGACAATTTTTGTAATTTTTTTTAAATCAAGATTTTTTCATAATTTCACAGCAAAAAAAATTTTTTTCAATTTACCGTTATTTATTTAACTAGTCTTTTTATGGCTTTCGAGCTTTCGAGTTTCGCGAACACAAAGAAATAGTTTGAAGTTGAATTTCGTTGACAAGCGTTTAAGTCACTTGCTTTAGCGATGTTTTATCTTATCGTGCGCTTGCATGTGTTGGAGCAGCAAAGGCAGAAAATATGAACATTTCTTTCTTTTTGCAATGAATTTTAGGCCACCATATCAATCAGCTAACTGAACACATATTCTACCTTTTGTGCGAAATAAGTACGTACATATGAAGTATCTATGTATGTATGTATGTATATATATTTTTTCACATTGCGTTTTCTGCTTTTCTGCTTTATGTCAATTCACTTATGTGTTTCTTTGTATCTATACCCACAACTCTTGGCAAGCAACCTTTATCATAAATTGACGTATTTACCCTCCACCCCTTAACGTCGCGCCCTCTTTCGTCTGCTGTTCTATCGGCTGCACATGTGCAAGTTCTCTCTATCACTCGCTGTTCGTCTGCTGTCTCGATCACTTTTTAGCCGCGTTTCTTAGAAGTTCACGATGAGTAATAGCTCTCAGCGTAAGCCTTTTGAGTCGCTGCCGTACTCCCCAACAGCTGCCAATTAAGCGGTTAATTTTAATGCAAAACTTGCGCACACAACAACAATAGGCAATGAGAAAATATCACATTTTAAATGGTCAATCAATCGAAGCTCAGCCAAGTTTGTTTTGATTTCAGCGCATTCGCGAAGTTGTGTATAAGGCGAATGTAAGAGAAGCAAATTATTTTGTTCCGTTTTTGTTTTCAATTTTCGATTGTGTGTATTTTATACAATAACAACAAGGCCTGCGTGTAGTTGCTTGTGGAAAATATAACAGGTAAATTTGCTTGCGTTTTCATTTACTTGCTCTCATTTTTTATCATTTCTTTGTTTAGCAAAAAATATATAAATTTATCTTACATTGACATTATTTGTTATTGCATTTTTTTTTTTTTTTTTTGATTATATTTATACGAGTATATTTAAAAATTTTTGTTAGATGCACCTTTGCGCAGTCACATAGTGATAAAAAAAATTATTACAATTCAAATAATAAATTTTCAACGCTGAATTAATTTGCACGTCTCATTAATTTAGTTGCATTTCAAATTTATTTATTTTTGTATTTAATTTAATTTTTTTTATCTCAAAAATTTTATTTTAATTTTTGTAAATTTTTTTAATTCCTCACAATATTCGCCTGTCGCACCAAGCCTCACTTCTTTAGAAATTCTCCCATTTAACCGCCGATCTGACTCATTCATACGACACTCGAAAGAAAACTGAAATCAATTGAGCATTGTGACTCCCTCGAATGCCCCCGAACAAAAGTTAAGCAAGCTAGCGAACAGAGCAGTCACCGCCAAGCAAGCAAGTCAGCAAGCAATCAAGCGAGTCAAGCATCGATCGTGCCAACCAGCGTCTCATAAACAACTTTAGCTCCAGCTAACAGCTGTCAGGCGTCTTTTTGGAGCACTGACGCTTTTGGAGTTGCATAAGTTCGTTTGCAACATGTTCGATGGAGCAGGTAAATAAATGAATGCAACCAACAGTGTAAACTTATTAGGATTATTAGAGAGAATTCGTCCAACGATTCTTTATTATTCACGTTTGCCTTCGTAGTGTGATTTAATTTGCACACTGATAAGCGAATAGAAGAGATGCTTGATGATCAATGCTCCATATCCGACTGCACTTGAAAATATATTTCTTGGCAATTTCTTATCAAATTTAGGGGAATACCATTTACTTTCGCAAAAAGAAACATATTTAAAGAATGCACGCCGAAAAGCTCTTGAGCACACCCTCTAATAAGGCACCAAAATTAATTCATGGCAATCATCGTCACAAAGTCCGCCCTTCGAGTAACCAACAAACAGCCGCTTGGACGTCAACTTAACTGAAATGGCAAACAGCAATCTTTTTTAAGGCCATTGATGGCCAGCAAGTAGAAGATTTTGATTAGTCGGTTAAAAACGAAGCTTTCTTTTTTTTAACATAGTGGAGACCTCTGGCATCTGCTAAAGCAATGAGTTGAGTTTAATTGATGCGGCTGCTGGTCAATAGGCCCATTGTGATGCCGCTGAGGCTCCTGCCTTCTCCCTCTCAAATGATCGAACCATTTTGTGTGCGTTTTCCAAGGCACTTGTGTCGCGCAGATGTCAAGACTGGGCAAAAAAAGAGATAGTGCTCGATGGTCACCTTCGTCATTACTGTTGCGGCAAAAGTTGATTATTTTCTTGTGAAACCCCATTAAACAGTGTTCAGTCACTATGCCAGTCGTTTTGTTTATAGAAGACTGTCTATTCGCATCCAACATCGACCATAACCGCCATGAGTCAGCTAAACCAGCATCGTGTGCATGTTTTTTCATGGGTAGAAGAGTCCCTTCCAGCCCAAAATTTCAATAGATTCGTTCTATGAACACCAGAACTGTCCCGCTGCATTCAGTTACAGCCTTCAGGTCACCACAAGCGGCCACTGAAAAGTCAAACAATAAGAAGGAACTGACTATTTATCAGGTCACCAGAGGTTCAGCGGCAGCTCCCCACCAGCGAAAGTAAAACACTTTACGTCAGTCGTGCATCGATGAGCCCTCTCTTTGATGGACTTATCAGTCGTTGAGGTGTATATTGGCATTAATTATATTACATTTCAGGTTTTTAATTAACTGACCGATTCCCCATCTACTTCCGGCAACTTACGATTGTGCAAAAATTTTCACGTTCATATTTTAACGGTACAAATTGAATTCACAACGAAATTTCACTTTTCACGGCACAGAAATGCAATCATTTTACACTTTTAAAAGTATTTACACACATATCTACATAAGTACTTATATAAATGTAAATAAAATGTCATTGCAACCTCAATGGACGCCGCCCAAGCTTCAATAATTAGCACCTCCCTAAATATTTATAAATGTAATTTCCCTTTTCATATCTTTAAGTGCAAACGAATATATTTACATTTATTTATTTTTGTACGTACATATGTATGTATAGAAGTGAAATTATTTATCATTATCACAGCGAAGCTCTTAACAGATTTTGCTCCAGATGCATATTTACCTGTAAATTTCTAAGAACTTTCTGAGCGCTTATGTACACTCAAAGGTACTTATATATTTACATCTGCTTAAATGGTGCGCTTAATAAGAAAGTCGTGATACGCAAATAAAAGAATTAGAAATATTTTCGCTTTCGCTTTTGCATTCATCACTTTTTCGATTAAGCGGAAAAATTTGATGGGGCACATGTATGGAGCACACTTACTCAGATTTGGTGTAGAATGTATTTTTGAGCTAATTGTGAAAATATATGGTAAACAAAATCAATAAAGATCTGCTAGAGATCAATGCATCGACCTAAAATTCCCTAATATCCATCACAATTAAAAAGTTTCGCTTCATTCATCGAGGCGAGCTTTCTTTCTATTTGTATTCTACCGTTCATTTAGGCACACAACCACAAAGCTCTCAAACTGTTTTAACTTAAATTTGGTTCTCCTCTTGGCTGTTGATCGTTTCGCAACCTGTCTCAAAGGCACGCCTACATGTATGCAACGAAAAGATATATATTCTGCGAGATACGATCACAGTGGTGTCATTAGAATGGAGATGGCTGAGTATTTTGTTTTAATTTTGAAATAATTAAATCAGTTCTGTTTTCTTGTCATGATGTTTATGCAATTACTACTGAAATCAATTGTGCACAATCACCAAATCTTTAGTAATGAAAACCTGAGGGATAAAGCATTTAATAGTTAATTTTTAAATATTCAAGCTGAAAGCTGGAATATTCTTATCCATCTGTACCAAGTGAGCTGGCCAGCGCTGCCGCTGCTCATCGTTGCATCGGCTGCGGTGCTGGCCGTTCCTAACTCGTACAGAGCCGTGAATCTCGAGCTAACCCATTCTCTCGAAAACTTCTAACGCCGACTTTGGGTTTCGTTCGTCAAGAGGGAGCTTCTTTTTTCAATTGTCTACTCAGTCCGAAGTAGCACCTCTTGGCAAGAGTGATTCTGTGTTGAATTTGAAATTGGAATTGTTGTCGGTGTTAATACGTATTCCAAGGTATACGAAGTTATCAACGACCTGAAATATATGACTGTCAACAGTGGCGTGGGAGCCTTGTCGTGATTGCGATGACTGTTTGTATGATGACAGAAGATGTTTCATCTTGCTCTCCTCTCAACCAGACTCAATCAAAATTTAATATATACGCAGGAGTTCGAGGCAATATTTATAAAAATTAGACTTTGAAACAAATGGCGAAACCTCCGAGAATACAGGGGAAACGTATCCGTCTAAGAGTGCAGCAAATGAACATTTTAACTCCCCCTCTCTTACTCCGTTCCTTCGTGAGATGTGTTAGTCGGCACAGAAACATTTAAGTGATAAATTCGGGCGGAGTAATCAACACGCTTCCAACTAGAAAAATTAGGTCAATTCTGCAGTTAAGAAATTATTATTTTTATTCACCTTGACGGTATTGGCAAGTGTTTCAGTGCAGCCAATATATAAAAGCCAGCTTGTGAAGTCATAAAAACTGAAAAAAAAAATGCTTGCAGCAAACTTAGGAAAGTGTAATGGTTCAGCAAAGCTCAACTCAGCTCAGCGCGATGTTTCAACCAACTGAACCCGGAATCTTCGACTGCCTCTTTCGATCGTAGAGATTTGAAAGCGTTGACATTTCGGCTACATGCGAAGCAGGCAATTATGTGGGAAGGGCAGCCGTTGAAAAACGCACATGAAAACGTGCACAACGTTGAGGAAACGTAGAAAGGGCTTAGTTGGAATTTTTCTAAATTGAAAACATAGTAAAAAAACAACAAAAAATAAGCCAAATAAATGACTGAAAAATATATGGTTCAATATTTTCGAAATTATTAGGGTTTCTCGCTTACAAGAATTTTTATTCGCGTTAAATCTTGAAGGAATTTCAAAAATGCTGAAAGTTAAGAGAAACTTGTGTTAGACCATTTCTACTTTTCATGCACATACATATGTTTTTATGTATTTGCAGTACTGAAAACGTATGCAAATTAAATTCAAAAAACAGTTGAATTCATAAGAAATTCTTTATTTGACCACAATTTGTGTCAAGGGCAACACTGCCAAGAGGGACGAGGCACTTCAATTCTGATCTCTATTTGCTGATTTCAGTGGAGTTTGAGACATTTTCGCGATCACTAATTGAACCGCAGATCTTTATCGCCGATAACCCAAAAGTTAGTGCAATATCGTGGACGAGTAATAAAGTTGTTGGACAAACACAAAAACACATCAAAATACACGAATAAAGAAATTTATTTTGCAGCTTTTGTTGACATTCAGAGCGATTTTATTGCAAGCTCAGCATGAGCACTTTATCGCTTGGCTTCACGGTGTTGGCGGGGAAACTTTTTTTGCCTGGAGTGACAAAAAATTTTGCGTTCCATTGAAATAAAGCAGCTTTTGTATTTTTAGTTTACTGTTTCCTTCATTGGCCTCTTCGTAGCCATAAGACACCCTCACAGCAGACGGTCGTTTCATGCTCAGTCCACATTTTGTTTTCAGACTGGGAGTGCCTGTGCTAATTGAAATACAGAATTTTTAATTGCAAAATATGCAAAATGCATTATCCCCTATGCTAATGTGCTAAGGCAAACATAAAAATTATTTTAATAGACTTTTTTGGCTACGTCGGTTGCATCGGTTTCGTTCGCGAGTCTATTGAACTCTCATTAGAGTAGGCGGCATAATTCACACCCCAAAAGCAAATAAACAATTTTACGCCGATCTAATGTACTTAACTTGTCATATTCAATGTCAAGGCCAGAGAATATTTCTCCAGCACTGTGGGCCATCTGTCATAATTTCACGCCCACTGTCGGTGTAAGGCGAGCGCACTCACTGCCGCATTGCAATTAAAATATTTAATTAATTTCTGGTTATTTTGTTCGTCAAATATACAGAAAATGCAATAAATAGAATCGTTCACGAATATTAAATTCTCATTTAAATTTTTATTTCAAAATTTTTTATGTCTATTTTTTTGCTAAGAATTGTTCACCGCCGCAAATCATTTGCTTAAAATATGTTTAACCGTTAGTTAATATTCATTATGAAAATCAATTTAATTGTAATATTTTTCATATTATTTCTAATACATTCTATGCTCCATTGAAATGCAATTAATTCCAGTTGATTTGCTCGAATTGCAGCAGCACAACGACCGAAGTAAAATAGATATTTGATTAATTGCTTTTCATGTTTAGAATTCCTCTCGGCAGTGGCGCGCTAAGCGCCGATCATTGCGGTGTGAACAACAACTTTAAGGTCAATTGAATGTAATAAATTGGAAATAAAATGAGAAATTAAAAAGTAATTGAAAATTGATGTTTAATGAGTTTTACAAGAGCGATTTGCTTTTAAATTCAGTTCGGCATTTTTTATTCAGCCAGGGTTCCGTGTTTTCATATGCTGGTCCCTCAATTTCCCGTGACCTTTCCTATTCACACTACCTAATATTTCGTAAAGACCTTAACGATCTTAATTAAGATTACTTCAATGAGATTCTCTTGAAATATATTGAAGCCACGGCTAAGGTCCTACTTGAAGAGAGCATCGACAGGTGTGGTGTCACCTCTTTGTCGATCTGAAAGTAGCCTTCGACAGCATGAAAAGGAGCTGCCTCTACGCCACTGACATTAAGCAACACCAAAAGCTAACGAGGTGTCTTCCACAACCGTGCGGTGAGTTTTGCTTTTGCGACTCGGCTCCCACGTCAGTGTTGACAGTCATAACTTTAAAGTTGTAACCGATTTCATCCATCTAGAAACCGTGCTTTTATATGGTGAGTTGACGTTACTAGCTTTCAAAAGAAAGGTTTTGAGTCGGACTTATGGTCCCCTACGAGTGAGAATGGGGAATACTGCAGCCGATGTGAAGATGAGCAAATCAAAAATCGGCGGCTGCGATGGCTGAGTCTTGTGATCCGATTGGAGTATACTACAGCTTTAAAAGTTATGGGATGTAATTCCCGTCGATGTAAGCAAAGGAAGAGAAAGACGACCACCTTTGGAAAGACTATTGTTAGCTCGGTTATAATCACGTCGGTAAAGACTTTTTGTCACCTCTTATTATATTTTGTTCTGTGTAGATTGGGTTTTGATGATCACAAGGCAATCCCTCGGCGACAAAGCCGCTGTGATGGCACACATATGTTGAGTACATTCTTGAATAAGATCATAGAATTTCGAGTCTCAAGCATCACAAAAAGAAAATAGACGGTTTCATCTCCAGAATTCGGCAAGAGTCCATACCTCTCCGCGTAAATACTAATCGGAAATATTATTTCGAGTCAGAACTTCCACTTTTTCAAGAATTTAGACCTTGGAATTGCAAAGAGTTTACTTTGTGTGATGGAGCTAATAAGTTTTGGTTTGAAGAAAGTATATGTGATGATGCAACAGGGACGTCTTTTTCAAGGTTTTATCCATCCAGGGTTTATTTCTCCAGTAGCTCTTCTACCTTCAACCTTCCCGTGAAGGAATTATAATAGATTGTGCCAGCTTTTAGTGGCGGTGATACATGTAGCTGAGGATAAGTTTGAGTTCTTATGAAACAGTGTGGTGCGCCACGTTCGTAGCGACCAAAGATGCAGACTTCTATCTAAGCACGACTCTTATAATACATTAACCAACGTCAAGCGCCGGGAATGATTGGCGAGATTCGATTTTCAGCTTGTTACCTAGAGTAACTCAGCACAGCACTAGCTAATAGCGCTCCTGCAGAGTCAAAGGGCAATTGATTCATCTTCCATCCTATCCTCGGTATTTCGAACCAATGCTGTTTATCGAGGGAACCCCTGCTTTCGGGATTCTATACTTCCCAGTTCTGGAACGCAATCTTCAAGGGTACAGAGTATTTAAAAGTGATTTAAATAGCTGTGATGGGATTTAAGTAGGCCGCAGACACAGCCTCATTATCAATCGAGCATCGTTTGTAATAAAATTATATTGAAAAGTAAATAAATGCTCTCTAACAGGGCTTAACTTAGTAAAACAAATATCGAACCTCACTTAACATTACACACATATATACATGCTTGTACATATTGCACTTGTAACGTTATGCTCAAGTGCAGCCCCCACCGTAATGCTGCCAGCCAACTGCAACTGCAATGCAATACCTACACTCCATATCTGCTACCTGTTACCGCAAAGCACGTGCGCTTGCTGCGCTGTGCTGCGTCGCGGATTTTCAGCTCGATCAGCCGTAAGCCGCCCAAACTGCGAGTCAGTTGGATTTGTGGCTTAGCAGCAAACGGAAGAAGTGTTTGCCCACCAGTGGAGCGTTCGAGCAGTGAAGTTGCAATTTAACATATATGTAAATATATACATATAGTTTATTAAAAAATATATTTAAATTATTTATACTTGTGCCTATGTACATATGTGTGTATGTATGTGTATGAAAAAAAATAACGGTGACAAAACTGAAAGTTCTTACATACTTTAGAGTGCATTAAAAAGCATTTAAAAAGTGAAAAGATAGAGAAAAATATTTTAATTGCAATTTATTACACCGTTAGATCATAACAAATACAAACCATTATAAAGTATTTACAAGTAATTATTTATTTATTCGAATCGGCAATAAAGTGTCGCATTGTATTGTTGCTGTGTGTTTGCGTGGTGGAATAAGCAACATTTCCGCTTCAATAGTCAAATCGTCACACTTTCTCGTCGGTAAGTCCAAATGTCATAACAACTAATCGTATATATAATATTACATTGAACAAATGAAATATATTTACTTTCGTATATTCGCCACTTGAATAGCAACAATATTCATTCATTATCACAAGTATATGCATACACGTATGTATTTATGTATGTACTTTACAGGCTCAACAATAACGCCGTTTGCCATATGGTAGTTGTTTTACTTCTTCTTCTTCTTCTATCTTTATTTTTGTTTGCTGTTTGCCGTTTGCTGTTTTTACTTGCAATGTCAGCCCACGCAAATTTGTTTGCATTTATCTAATGAATGCACATTTCTCGCTTTGAAGGTAAACATGGAAATTTCATAAAAATAAAAGTCACTTACATACATTTGGGTACAAAGTTATGTTGCATACGACCAGTTTGATTGATTGATATGCGAGCACATACGAGCACCTACGAGTGCATACGAGTATACACATGTTCGTAATTCGTCGTCAGATAAAGTAACAAATCTTTTCTTCTTCTTTCAAAATATTATCCCTTAATTTGGAAAAAAAAACACAGGAGCCATCAAAACTTCTCACCGAATGCGAGACTTCGAATTTTTTTGGAGGTGACGTAACATTTTTCTCTCTCAACTCGAGTTTATGTCATCTCCAATGAGTGCCTGCCTCCAGTTTATCAAACTTTAACTTCACAGGACTCTATAAATTGCTAAAACGCATTTACGTTCCATATTTTCTACGGGAGAAGGAGTTCAGAAGTTACTTGCAAAGGCGATGGTTTCTGGAAGCTGAAATCTTTAAAACAAAGAATCCGTATAAATTCATGCAGGGAATATTCTATCCTTGATGTGGAAGCTTCACTGGCTGGGTTCTTCAAAAGCTTTGCGCATATAATCTACAATGGATGGTACTACCATTTTATCCAGTAGATTCTCTGATAGTGCTAAGTAGGTTACAAAAAATTCAAATAAGATTGGGTAATTAATACTAATTTACTAGCGGACCCGGCGAACTTCGTCTCGTCTCAATTCCAAGTATTTTGGTTTACTCCAGAGTTAAAATGGAGATAAATCAGTAGAGAACAACAAAGACGATTTGCCAACCATGACCATGCTAAAGTCTATTTCCTATGTACAAAAAAGAACCTCCTTTAAAATTAATTGTTGTTCGGTTTGCTAGAACTCGTTTCGAGAAAGAAAACCGAACTCAAAATACGATTTCTCCGATTTGGTCGGTGTCAGGTGCACAACTCGAAAAAAATAAGAATTGGCCAAGTTGGTCCACTTGTACATATGTAGGTTGCGTAGATAAGGGTTTCCCATAAATATACCCCATTCCACCATAAGTCAATGTATGACGTCATCTATCGAGTTATAGAATAGACAAAGCAAATCAGATTTGTGGTCCCTATTCACTTCTGAACAAATTGATAAATGTTTATGTATGTTTATATGTAAATCAACTTCCCTATGTAAATCAGATGTTGGTCGCTTCTTTTTCTATCCGTAAGCTACTATATACATGGATATGTGAATCAATACTTACAGCTGCTGACAATAAAGCACGCAATTTATTAGTTATTTATAGTTGTAATCGATAGCATTTCATTATTAAGGCTCATCATTTATTAATGCAATTAAACTACAATGTTTTTCTACAGCCTTTTTTTCTATTGCATTTCTTACTGTTGTTGCTGACGCTGTTATTGTTGTTGGTATTGTTGCATTTTGGTTAGCCGCAACATTGTTCATGGCACATGTTGCCTTGAGCTGAGCTCAGCTCAGTTCAGCCGGGCTCAGCTACTTAAATCAGTTCGTATGCAATCAATTTGCGGAAGAATAATTCTATCGATTATTGTAATAATGATGATGATGATAATGATGATGATGATGATAGTGATGAGGTAATCGAGATGCTAGAAAATAAATTCAATTCTGTTGACTATTTGACGGCCTAATTTGCTTTCAAATGGGGCATTTCCACAATAAATAATAATTAATTGGGCTGAATTAATATTTAAAGATTTGCGAGTTGAGTTTTCTTAGCGAGGAAATCATTAGTCATACTTTATCATAGTTTATCATATTACCTTTGTAATATTTCGCAGTAGGTTAGACTACCGATATTACGAATGTTGTTGTAAGTTCATTCACACATATTATAAAAGTTGTATCTTCTTCTCAAGCTGGGCAATTGCATTGCATATCAGAAATCGTCTCTTCTCCTCGTCATTTCTGCACCGAAAAACAGCTCCAAACATCTGCATCCCGTCAAGATTCCAACTATCTTCCAAAAGTACGCATTTTTTTATAGAGTAAAAGCCCTGACCTCTTTCGCTTAAACTCTCGATAACTCGATTTGACTTGCGATGATGGCAGATGAGACTATAAGCGCCGTTGGGTGATCTTTTTTACGCATAAAATTTTATTTTCGTTGGCTACAGACTTTGGCGTTGGTGTTCAGTAGCCGAATGGTAAGCATTGCGTACTAACATTCGAACGGTCAGGGTTCGAGTCCTGGAATGACCAAGATCCAAGGTTATAGAAAATTCATTTTTTCAAATTGCAGTCGCCCCTCAGCAAAGAGTGTCAAACCCTCTGGCTTGAATGAACTATTATACTAATATACCGTAATTTTCCAACCTTTTTTATATCTTTTATTTTTATTTTCATTTTAATTTATCTTTTTTTTATTATTATTTTTAATGTAAATCGGAGAGCTTAACTGCGGCTTATCAAAAATTATTCGAGTTTTCTCTTCGCTTAAACACTTTCTAAACCGGATGCCTCTAATAATTCTAAAAATTCTTATTATAACATCAAAGTAGATTTATTCCGAGTTTATTTCTCATAATAAATTATCCTTCCTCTCCAACCGTCGACTTCTCGGCGGTGTGAATTCTTCTTCATACACTCCCCTTTGCCAGCGCAACGAATGAGAATCTATAATTTATTTGTTTGTAAGCAAATTGCGTTTTTTTCGAAATTTGCAAATAAATTAATTCTTTAGAAACTCGCAGACTTATTGCTAACTATTTGCCAAGCCAAACAAAAGCTAACCTCACAAGCCGCTCTCGCTGGTGGGCGTAACATTAATAATTGCTTGTTTGTCCCATTGAGGAACAAATATTGCTCATTGAATTAGCGGCGAGCCATAGAATTGGCTCATCAATCAATAAAACCAAACACCGACACCAAACAATTGACGAGCAAATTGTCAAGCCAGCAACACTAACAATAAATAAAAAATTGTAAAGCAGTAAAAATATATAAAGAAGAATTAAGAAACACACAAAAAAAAAAACAAAAACAAACATAAGAGAGTATGTTACAAAGTTGCAAAATCAATTATTTGCGGTTAACAAAAAGAAAAGAGAAAAAATGAAACAAAAGGAAAATAAATAACAACAATATAAGCGACATGGAATAAATAGGTTTTAATAACAAATAAACGTAAATATCGAAATAAACGATAAACAATAAACAATAAACAGTATTTTTTTTCACATTTAGCTTTACCAATTGTGCTATGGTTGCCACCGTTCACTGTGTCTCCAGTTGGTGCAGCGCCAATGTCAGTGTCAAATGTATGCATTCACCTAGAAAAGAATATTAAAAAGAAATAAAATTTCAATAAGAATTTGTGCAGTCATGTGCACATACATACTCGTATGTAGATGTAATATTCCGCTGCCCACAATGTCATTTCAATAGGAAGTCGAAGAATTCTACTCATAAATACATTACATGAACATAACAAATAATCGTAAACACATTACTGTTACAATGGGAAAGTAATTAAAAAGAATCACATAAAAGCTATTTTACATTTACACAGAGCAAAGTTAAAAAAAAAACTCATTGCATGTTTCAGTCTCAAGTTCAGGGTCAGTGATGCAATAAACTGACACACTTTATTGTAGTTGTGTGCCCGCATATTTATGTATAACGCAAATTGTTAGCAACAAACACTACACACCACTTAAGTTTTTGAGTACGAAAAGTAAATGAATAAAATGCGATTTGCCACAGGTGAGTGTAGGTGGCACAGTTAATTGCGAATAAGCAACCACACTGACGACTCTCCACCATATTTGCGGTTGCACATTGTCGGTTGCTTAATGAGGGATGGGTTTACATCATTGTCGCGTATATATGTATGTACATACACGCATGGTTGTTTGAAAGTACGGCTAATTTAGAATTTCAAATAAATTGACTTCATCATTTTGAATCATCAGGTGAACACAAAAGCATCTTTTTCATTGAATTTAAAACAAAAATCTTTGCCCTCCACAAAATTTTTAAAATTTATATAGCGAGTTAAGAATTTTATTTGAATTTCGAAATATTAAGACCACGACTGTGACGTGATTAGAGTGCACTTTACTCAGAGTTACACTGAAAAGGTAGATTGCGCTGTAACTTTCGTGTGCCACAGTCGATTTGGCGTCGTGCTCTAGCCAGAGCCTAATTTAAGCAGCCTTCTATTACTTTCCAGAATCTTTTACAATTGTACTTTAACTCAGAGTTGATTTTCTTTAAATATTTATTTTGACTTTCTTTGAAGCTTCGAAATGGAAAAATTCTATTGACCAATTTTAAAAAATTAAATAAAAAAAAATAATTATATTTAGCTAAAACAAAAATATCCTAGAATAGCGCTGCATCATCTACAGAGATAAAATGCATTGAATTCCATATGTAATTCCTTTTTGGACATTAATCTAGATCTGCTAACACTCTTTTATTTATCGGTTCTTCCATATTTAGAATTGTATTAAAAACTTTTATTTATTTATCTATCTATTTACTATATAATAAGTATTGTTCCTTTAAATGAAATGGATAAAATCGTCTTGAATTAGATTTGCGAGTTCTACCCGAATATCTTCAAAATAAGAAAATCAGCCAGCTGTAGCTTTCTTATTTAGAACTTGTTTTAGCTAAGCTGGGAATATTCCCCTTAGCTTCTCCAACCAATTTTTATTTCTTTATTTAAGTTCAACGAGACCTG